TAGTTTCTTTGATGTCCCCTATCCTTTTTTCAAGCCCAGCTATTAATTTCATGATTATGATTCTAAAATCTTGTTCAGTTAACGCTGCTTATATCTGTCTGAGCAGTTCATTCGTTGTCAATTCTTCTTGGAATTTCTTTGGAGGAGAGCTCTTTCGTTTTGTTATTTTAGTTAGCTTTCTCTCTCTTGTTAGTATAAAGACTTGTTATGCTCTCTGCACCTGTGAGCACTGCTGTACCCAAGAAGACTCTTTGACTGTCCAAACCCTATCCTTTCAGAGAGTGTTCTTTGAATGGTATAAGTTGGTCTCTCTTGTTGAGACTTTGGTTCTTTTATTTTCCTACTCGTAGTGATATTTAGGACTCTCCACCATGTGTACTTTGGCTTGTTACTTGAGGTATCCCTGGAGAAGAGAATAGACAGACAAATACAGGGAGCAGAGGCACAGAAACGCACAGACAAATCCAACTAACATGCAAACTGTGAGGGAAAATGAAAAAGTTAAGAGAAAAGACAGAGGAGGGAAGGCAAATAATAGAGAATAAAAAATACATAAAAAGGTTAAAAAGGAAGAAAACAAAGGGAAAATAGAAGAAAACCGATGGACAAATAATGGTTTAAAGCATATAACCGGATTTCCCAGCTACAATTAAATAGCCGGGTGTATGCAGTGCTGGTTGAAGAGTATAGAGAAAGAGAGAGAAGACAGAGCAGGTATGAGGCAAAATTGGAAATAGAATGAACAGGCAGAAGGGATAAGTAGCTTTTTTCAAAGAGCTAAAGGGTGGAATATAGTTGGATAGGTGAGAGAAGGATGCTGGTGTTATTCAAAGAAACTATATAGTCTAATTATTCCTGAGAGAAAGAGATGAAAAGGTCGGTAGGTGGAGAATTTACATCTACAGAATGGAGTAAATGTGACTGTTTAAGCAAGCTGGTGACCAGAGTTAATCAGGTCAGTGTTCCGGGGGGAAATTAAAAAAAAAAAAGGAGGAGGGCAGCTCTTTAGCAGGGATGGGCGTGGTGTGATCCAATGTGTCAGGAGTTCTACCTTGGCAGCTGTGGGGAGGAGAGTGGTGGCGCTACAGTCCCTTCTTGAACCAAGCGCTGCACCTTGCTTTTTTATGTGTGTAAACTCCCCTTGCCGGGGGCGCAGCGAAAGGGGGTTGCGCTCTTTTACCCAGGCTAGGCCTAGTTTCCAAATCCCAGTCCCCACTGAAATTGCCATAGAGCAGGCGATCCCCTCAGGGCAATTCCATGCCTCTTGCCTAGCCCAGGGCATGGAGCCAGAATTGCTGCTCCCTTCTCCTCCAGGTTGGGTTGCCGAGCAACGATGGGGTTTGCCTGAGGGACGCGCAGGCCCACTGGAGGGAGGGAAACCAGGTCCCTCTGTGTCTCGTCACCCAAAACACGAACTTGCAGGCAAATCTCCCAGTTTTAAGCCCTTCGCCTTCCCTCTAGAGTTCCAGCTAGCCAGGAGTGCGGAGGTACGCACTAGGTTCCTCCAGGGATCCAGCCAAGCCAGGGGTACAAAGAAGCGGTGCGCACGCGTGCAGCCCCTCTGGGACAAGTTGGCGCGCGGGGACCTGGCGCACAGGGATTTGGTGTGCACGGTCCTTCTGTGCCCCGAGCAGAGTTTTTTCTGTTTCCCAACGACAGGGACCGTATCTTGAGTGGTTTCGGACTCTCTCTTTTTCCCCTCTCACTCCCCGCAGAGGGGGATCGCCCCCGTCCCTGGAGTCTCCGAATCCAGCCTGATTTTATCTTCCCCAGTTCACACTCATGTTAGACGGCTTTCTCAGTGGATTCTGCGTCCTTTTTCTCCCTATCTCTTGGGTTCTGTAAGGTATCCTATAGCTTCAGATCTTTTCCGTGTGAGATATGGGGGCGAGTTCAATGCACGGAGCTCCCTACTTCTCTGCCATCTTGCCCCTCCCCTAATTGTACACTTTAAATGGGTGAACTGTATGGTATGTGAACTATAGCTCAATAAAGCTGTTTGAAAAATAGAGAAATTCACCCACAAGGTATAATTGGGTTGAAGAAAGAAGTGACCCATACCTTTGAAATAACAGTGGAAATAGAAGGCAAGTAGGTAAGTGCCTGGTAGAACTTCATCAACCTTCCTAAGTCATAGACAAGGACTCTGGAGGTGCAGAGGGTTTTATATGGTGCTATGTGTGTCTGCTATGCTGGCGACTCGCAGAATTGTAACTGGCTTTGCTGGTTGCACTGAGAAAGAAGTGAATGTGGTGCAATTTATCCTGGGCACCAGCTTGTGGGACAAAGGGTGGCATGCTCCCACATCAGGCTAATTCTTGGCTACTCCAGACAGGAAAGAAGCACAGTTCCTGCTGGCACTGCTTACAGCTCCCTCAAGGTAACTGAACTTGTGATACACATTACAGGAAATCTTAACTTTCTACTTACTGCTTCAACTGTGTTTGAAGGATTTTAACAGGACTCTATAGCAGTCTGTGAAAGATGTTTCTAGTACTACTTGAAAACAAGCCCTTTTTGAGGAAGGACTGATGTCTGTAAGAATTAGCAAGTTCTTACAGAAATAGAGAAATTTCACCTACAGAAAAACACCAGGCAAAGGTAATGCAGATGAATTTGGAAATAAATTTATAAAACACGAACAGGAGAAAATTTTTACAAAATTCTCAATTTTCTGTTTTTAACAAGCCTCTAGACGGCATTGAAAAGATTTATTGGAGATTAAAAGTATGATCATTGAATCACAAATCCAGGAGACAATAAACATGTAAGTAAAACCAGAAAAACAAAGTAGAAGATAAAACTGAGAATTTCTCACAGACCTAAGAGGGAAAAAATTTTAACAATAATGAAAATGATGAGAGAGGTTCTGAGGATAGAGACTGGAAATATAATCCCAGAAGATTGGAACAGAACAGCTGGAGTAGAAGTGATAAAGATAAGAAGACTTTCCTAAGCTAAATTCAGAGACACACGCCCAAATTAATTTGACTGTCAATATTAACATGATGAAATGGAAAAACAGGAATTATTATTCCCTTTTTGATTAATAAGGGAATTGGAAATACAGAGAAATGAGGTATGTGCATGATTTCTCACCCCTGTATCAAGTGCAGCTAGAGCCAGAGCTCTGATCTCTGACATCCAGAGCAGTACCCTTGGTGTGCAAGCATGCCAGGACATATGTGTCACTGAGGTTTTTTAATTATTCTGCAATAAATTCACTTGTCATTTTTTAAAAGTTTATTTATTCTGAGACAGAGCATGAATTAGGAAGGGCAGAGAGGGGAGGAGAGAAGTGGTGGGGAATCCTAAGCAGGCTCCGCAGGGTCAGGACAGAGCCCAATGTTGGACTTGAACCCATGATACTGTGAGATCATGACCTCAGCCAAAATCAAGAGTCATACGCTTAACTGACTGAGTCCCCTATGCACCCCCACCTATCAATTAATTCAAAAGAACCTCTGAAATTATAGGAACATACGATTATTAACCTTTGGATTTGTAAGAAAGTTCTAACTTCAAGGGGCAAAGTTGGCCTTGAGGATTATCACTGGAAAAACACTACTGTCACCAATTACTGCTCCTACCATGAGCTTCTAAATAATCCCATAACTTAATGAAGACCTCTGTTAGAAATATCTTTTTCCTTTGAAAAGATACTTGTAGCAGTTGTCAAACACCTTTTCATGATTTTGCTTACTGTGAATTTAAGATCACAACCCTATCTGGCAAAGAATAAGTCCCCTGCATGATGCACCATAAGCACATATGTTTGCTAATGGAAAATGATCATGTCCACCATCTAATCAGAGCAGCTAGTTCCCCCAGGACCAGCATCTAGTATGTACTGAGTTGGATTCAGAGTTCAGGACTCAGTTCTGCATCAGAAGGATGTGCATCCTTCCTCAGGATGGCTAATCCCCATCTAATCCCCAGAGCCTGGCTACTATGCTCCTATCATCTTTTGCCTTGAATGTCAGGCCTGTTCCTACTCCCCAAGTCTGGACAAAGTACATGTGTGACAGGGTTAGCTATTTTGCTTTTTCAACCGTGTCAAGGGCTTTACCATTCTTTATCTTTAAAAAAAAAAAAAAAAGTATTTTTGGGTGAGTGTAAGCGGGGGAGGGGCAGAGAGTGGGGGGCAGAGTGAGGGAGACAGAGGATCCAAAGCAGGCTTTGCACTAACAGGCTGACAGCAGTGAGCCCAATGTGGGGCTCAAACTCATGAACCTCAAGATGATGACTTGACCCGAAGTAGGATGCTCAATTGGTTGAGCCCCCAGGTGCCCCCCATTCTTTATCTTTCTTAAACACTAGATTGGCCTCTGCTTCCAGCCAGCTTTTAGACAATAAGGTTGCTAATATAATCTGCACCTGCTTAAGATCTGACACTTAACACCAGAAGCATTTTCAGCATATCCAGGCCCCTACTGGGTTAGGTCTGGGAAAGGGTGGTGGCTTGTGCATGAGGATGCCCTATCTTGGCTCTCACCAGTTTCCTTCTGGCACAAAAGCTAGTCCTTTTATGGGCAAATATGTGATGTGATGCTGTTTGCCATTGATTTGGGAAAGAGACTCAGAGAAGCAGCCATAAAACTCATGGAAGAGGCTTGTCTGTCAAAGGGAAAACACATTCAAATTCCATTCTAGATTAGACAAAACTCTCCATGTGTTTATTGCTTCTGCAAGTTATGTATCATATAGTTATATCTTATTGCTAGACCCAAGAGATGATCATTAGTTCTACTCAAAATAAACAAATGGAGACAGGTCTGGGGATTCAATAATGGAATCTTCCTCAAGCCAATAATTCCCTTTCTCTGGGTGCTAGGGACCTCTTCCTAATTGAAGGAACAAGAGACACTGGTTTATCTGTCTCACCTTCAAGCTACTTCTGCCAGACAAGTAAACATAGCAGTCAACAACACTCTCTCACTTCTTGTTCTTATTTCTAGGACATCAGAGTATAAAATAAAAGAGAGAGGCACATAACTCACCAGTGTCTGGTAGGTAGTCTGGCCAGCCCATGCAGTTCAGTCCTGTTGGGGCACTCTGGGAGAATGGATGGCTTCTAGCACGACTCAAAGATTCTGGAGAGGTCACAGTCATCTTCCTCCAACACTGGGAGAGGAGGAAAGAGGCACAGAGTAAATGCAGAAAAGATATGCTATACTGTCATTGCCACATCATACTTTTTTCATTGTCCAGGATCTTTGTTATGACCAGGGTACATAGCCAAAATGCACATAGCTTCAGGAGGTGCCATTTACATCAAAATCCATGAGGGGAAAAGCCCCACAAAAACTTCTGGAGTCTTTAACCTGTATGGCCATATGTGTTAATTGTGGCAGAACAGGTTGTCATTCAACAATGTGAAATAAGGACTGTTGAGAAGGTCTCCAACCCCTCAAATCTCCAACTTCTCTGTCTCACAGCCTGACATTCCTCCAAAAGCATGACTGTTAGTTTTAACTAAGGCATATTCTTCTAGGGGTGCTTAATTAAAATACAACCCATGAAGTCCTGGGCATTTCATAATTATGAGACAGAACTTACCCTTCAAATTTTAAGGACCAGTGTTGCATGGGGTCTTGGGAAGACAAGAGATATTGTCCCTTTCTTTATCATCCCATCATCCAGATATAAAATTGGCCCCTTCCAGTTTTATTTACTTTGTAAGGTTATTGTATTAGCTTAAAGATTTAGGTATGTAGGGGCACCTGGGTGGCTTGGTCAGCTGAACGTCTGACTTTGGCTTGAGTCATGATCTTGTGGTCTGTTAATTTGAGCCCCAGGATGGGCTCTGTGCTGACAGCTCAGACCCTGAAGCCTGTTTCAATTTCTGTGTGTGTGTGTGTGTGTGTCTCTCTTTCTATCCTTCCCCTACTTGTGCTGTGTCTCTATCTCAAAAATACATAAATGTTAAAAATTTTTTAAATTTGGTACATATTCAAATAAATGTTTGTTCCTTTTCCTTTTCTTTTGTATCCCTGAAATGATGAAGCAAGTAGTGCTTCCTATGATACCCTCTGGCTTGACCTTAATAGCAACTTGAAACTGGGTGTGCCTAAAAAAGACTCCAAAAGAAGTCTCTGTGGTCTGAAGAGAAGGAAAGGGTGCCCCTAAGAGTATAAACAAATGGGGAAAATCTTTCTGTTGTTTCCTCCCACCCCAAATTCCCAGGAAATCCTATTATAGTATGACAGTGATGGCCAGGTAGGCACCTAAAACTCTGAGGAAGGGGAATCCTCCATGACCAGAGGAACTGTGGTCCTAAGAGCACGGAGGTGGGAGGAGAATCGTGTTTCATTTTTCAATCTCTGTTTTCCTGCCACTTGGCTCTGGATTTCCACATTTGCAGGAAGTTTATGGAAAAGTAGGAAAACAAAAGCCCAGCTTTCTTGCAAAAAGATCAGGAATGTAGGGCCTCCTGCAATCAGAAAGTGTCTGGAAGAATGCAGAGAGAAAGGAACTCAAGAAAGTGATCCCAAAAAGTGTTTATAAACTCCAGGACTTACCCCAAACTGTGCATGGGTGGATCTGACCCTAAACAGGATACTAAAGTCTTTGAGAACTGAACTATGAAATAGAACATTTTATAGGTCCCACTGAATGATCTACATTATCCAAATAGCACTGAAAAAACCTTGAAAACTGAAATGACATAAGAAACATAGCCCCTGAATGCCAGTAAGAACTTGTAGTCTAAATGGATCAATTGCTTTAAAAATGTAATAGCCATTATTCTCCATAGCAACTAAAAAAGGCCCAGAGTCTCATAACAGTATGCAAAATGTCTAAGATATTGTTCAAAATTACTTAACATATAAGCAACTATGAAAATCTCAGTAATGTTTAAGGGAAAAGACAACCAACAGATCTCAACACCAAGGTAACATGGTAGTTAAAATTATAAGACTTTAAATTGCTCCTGTAACTAGGCTCTAAGAACTCATGAACACTCTTGAACTGAGTGGAAAATAACAGCAGGGAGATATAGTTGACACTTGAATAACTAACACAGGTTTGACTGCATGGGTCCACTTACATTGGATTTTTTTTATAACTACAGTACAGTGCTGTAAATGTATTTTTCTCTTCCTTATGATTTTCTTAACGTTTTCTTTTTTCTAGTTTATTGTAAGAATAAAGTATGTAATATGACATAAACAAGAAGTGATAATTGATTATTTATGTTATCAGTAAGGCTTCTGGTCAACAGTAGGCTATTAATAAATTTGGGGGGAATCAGAAGTTATGTGTGGGTTTTGATTGTGTGTGAAGTTGGCACCTCTAACTCTTTTGTTGTTCAAGGGTTGAATATAGATGAAGAAAAAAGAATGAAACTGAAATATTAGAACTGAAAAATACAATAACTTAAAAATTTACTGGTAAACTTCAATTACAAAATAAGATGATTGAGGATAGAATCAGTAAACTAAATAGCTCAAAAGAAATTATCTAGTCTGAAAACAGAGAAAAAATAATACAGTAAAACCTTGGTTTGCTAGCATAATTAGTTCTGGAAACATGCTTGTAATCCAAAGCACTCGTATATCAAAGTGAATTTCAAGAACCATTGCTCATTTGTGATCATGTGATGTTTGGCATCACATACTACTTGTATTGCAAGACATCACTCATTTATCAAGTTAAAATTTATTAGAAATATTTGCTCATCTTGTGGAATACTCGCAGAACAAGTCAGTTGCAATCCAAGGTTTTACTGTATTGGAAAAAATAAACAGAGCCTCAGGGACCTATAGAACGACAATAAACATCTAACATTCTTCCATCAGAGATGCAAGAAAAGAAGAGAAAGTGTTGTGCAGAACAATATCAAGAAGTTTCTTGGAGGAAGAGTTAAGATGGCAGAATAGTAAGGGGACCTGGCCTTGTCTGTCCCTCAAACACAGGGAGATCAACATCAAACCATTTTGAACACCTAGGAAATAAATCTGGGGATTAACAGAACAATCTGCATAATTTGAGGGAAAGAACACAGTAGGTACATAGTGCAGAGAGGGGAACTGGGGAAGTGAAGAGCTGCAGTGCCCCAGAGTGGGAGAGCTGTTTCATGGAGAGAGAGAGAGAGAAAAAAAAAAAAACAGAGGTGAAGAGAGAGCACTGCATTTGGTGGTGCTCTGGTGAGGTAGCAGGGCAAAGCCCGAGGAGCAGGTAACAAGGTTTCAGGGTCCCCTGGATCACGTGAGGAGAAGTTGTTCCTCTGCTTGGAGTGCATTTGGTAGAGGTGATACGGCCTCTCCACAGGCAAAAGACCCAGTAGGCACCATCAAGCCACCATGTTCACCCATAAAGGAACAAAGGATGCTGGCTAATGACAGCAAATCCTGGTGCTGGCTATGTGTTGTGATTTACCATAAACTCTGAACTGCTGCCACTCTGCAGTGGCATGACTGCTTCCTAGGACAAGCTGGCCCTAGCTATGGCTCAGTGAGACTTTCCCCCTGAAAATTACTGCAGGTCTGAACATGGGGGTCTCTGATGTGTGGTTTTGAAACACAGCTGCACCTGAAATAAAACTCTTGAGAGAGGTGCCACCTTATAGGCAGACAGCTCAGACACAGGAGAAAGACAGAGAACTGACAGAAGTGGGATACACAGGAGGGGTGACTGATTGTGTGTCTGTGAGGGTGCAAACTTCCCACTTCAGAGACTGAAGAACAGGGTGAAACCATTTACACTATTAGCCCACAAACACTGATTGACACAGTGACCAAAACAGTGCCACTATGTGAAAAACAAGGCTGCTACACCAAGCCTTGCCCCCCTGTTCCCTCCAGGTACATCTCCACTAGGGCAAGTGTCACTGGGAATAAGATCAGGAGACCCCTTGCCCAGAAGACCAGTATAAACCCCTTCTGGGAGCTTAGCCTACTGATCATAGAGTGCTACAAAGATTCAGCTCTAGGGGAAAATGGATCTAGCTTCATTTGTTTTCTTTTTTGTTGTTGTTGTTGGTTTGTTTGCTTTTTTGTTCTGTTTTTGTTTTTGTTTTTCTTTTCTTTTGTTTCTTGGACACAAAATCAGCAATGTATTTTATTTTACTATTTTTTAATTTAAAAATTTTCTCTCTTCTTTTCTCTCTCTCTCTCTCCCTCTCTCTCTCTCTCCTATCAAGCTTATCTTAACAAGTAGACCAAAACAAGCAGACCAAAACTTCTTTATTTGATTTAAAAATTTAAATTTTTATTTCATTCTATTATTACTATTATTGTCGGTTTTTTTCTTCCTCCAAAATGACAAGAAGGAGTTATTCACCTCAAAAGAAAAAAAACAGGAAGAAATGACAGCCAGGGATTTAATAAATGCAGATATAAGTAAGATGTCTGAACTAGAATTTAAAACAATGATTATAAAGATACTAGCTGGGCCTGAAGAAAGCATAGAAGATACAAGATAATCCCTTTCGGCAGAGATAAAAGAACTAAAATCTAGTCAGACTGAAGTTAAAAGTGCTATAACCAAGACGCACAACCAAATGGAGGCCATAAAAAGGAAGATCAATGAGGCAGAGGGGCAAAATAGCGATTAGGAGATAAAATTATGGAAAATAATGAAGCCAAAAAGAAGAGGGAAACAAAAGTCAGAGATCTAGAAGGCAGACTTAGGGAACTCAGCAATTTGTTAAAACGTAATAACATTTATAACATAGGAATCCCATAAGATGAAGAGAGAGAAAAGGGGGCAGAAAGTTTATGAACAAATTATAGCTGAAAACTTCCCTATTCTGGGAAAGGACACAGATATAAAATCCAAGAAGCACAGAAAAGTCCCATTAAATTCAACAAAAGCCAGCCATCACCAAGACATGTCATAGTCAAATTTACAGAATACACAAACAAGGAAAGAATACTGAAAGCAGCAAGGGGGAAAAAGTCCTTAACCTACAAGGAAAGACAGATCAGGTTCATAGTAGAACTGTCCACAGAAACTTGTCAGGCCAGAAAAGAGTGGTGAGATATATTCAACATGCTAAATAGGAAAAATATGCTACCAAGAATACTCTGTCCAGCAAAGCTGTCACTCAAAATAGAAAGAGAGATAAAGAATTTTCCAGACAAACAAAAACTACAGGAGTCAATAAACCAGCCCTACAA